TATCACTGTGATTGAACAGGCAAATCAGCAAGCTGCCAAACATGTATATGATGAAAAGGTGCAGCCCAGCACACTAATCCCAAAGCAAGTTGGTAACATGTACACTGCATCTCTTTATGCAGCATTTGCATCTCTTCTTCATAATAAAAACACTTCATTGGTAAGGTTTTCAGCACATACGTGCTTTGCTTATTTTCCCTCTGTCCTGAACTGCATCTTTGCTCATATGGGTAGTCTTTCGATGTGCAGGTGGGTAAAAGAGTAGTTTTGTTTTCATATGGAAGTGGCTTAACAGCTACAATGTTCTCCCTCCGCTTTCAAGAAGGTCAGCATCCGTTTAACTTGTCAAACATTGTAACCGTGATGAATGTTTCGGACAAGTTGAAGCAGAGACTTGAGGTATGCAGTTTTTGACCACTTATAAGCTACTACATGATCTTTTGATTTTCTAAGCCGACATATCAGAATATGATCATATCAGAATATGATCATATCTAAATATGACTTTGTTTTATACATTTAAAACAATGTTGTATTGCAGATTCATCCTGAAGAGTTTGTGGAAACATTGAAGATCATGGAGCACCGTTATGGGGGTAAGGACTTTGTGACAAGCAAGGACTGCAGCTACTTGCCTCCAGGAACATTCTATCTCACCAGTGTTGATTCTATGTACAGGAGATACTATGCCAAGAAGGACAAGGTGATTGCATAGTTTATATGTTCAAATTTAGAGTTAAAAAATGCATTTTCTTATGCTTTACATGTATTTGATCTTTCATAAGGTTATTTATCAAATTGTTTATAAGATGATGTTTTCATATTTATATGCAATTGTTAATTGTTTAAAATGAAAATGTATTAGAACTTTCTTCTTATGAGTGCAAAAGAAGTATAATGATGATTTTAAGGATTTTCCCTTTTTACCATATTGAGTGTAGTAATTGAACGCATTTATTAACATTTTATTTGCTGATTGTTACATCACCTTTAATGCATTGAATAATTCGAAGTGTGAATATGGAACAGAATATATTACTGAAATATAAAGGAGAATTAGAGGTATGATTGATTAAAAAATCAATAAACTTCTATAGTGATATTAAAATCAAGGAATGATTAATGTAAAAGAAATACGCAATAGTTGTTGATCGAAAAAAACATTTATGCTTCGTAAGAGACAATATTGTTTTAGTTCAAGAAACAGAGTCTGTCTTTAAATACTCAACGCAATTGTATAGTAAAGACTAGAATTTGAGACCACTCATTAATCTAAAATGATTATGTCAGATAATTCTAAAATATATTACACGGACACATTATTTTTTATTGTGTTATTAACCAAAATTAAAATTTAGTGTTTTTTAAGTTTTACGACAGAGTTGAAGTTTATTGACAGGGCCATTCGTGACTTTGTATGATGGATGGAGTAAAGTAGCAGTAATTTGTCATAACTTAGAAGTAAGAAAAGGCAAAAGGCATACATTTTCTAATTTTTGTTTTAAAACCTTGTTATTTTACTATAGTTTTATCACAATGTATCTCAAATTTCTGATTTTATTTCTTTGTCTTTAAGAAGGATTCACAGTAAAATAAAATATTAGTTTCCTAACATATTTATTGTATCTTAGTAATTAATTTTGATCGATAATTCGAAAGTTGGCAAAATAATATACTAAAACTAAATGTAGTTTGTTTTAATGTATATAATTTTCGAATAATATTACTAGAGTTTATTTTTCGTAGCATGATAAACTTTTTTTTTCATACGTATACTCCATCTCAACTTACACATAAATAAAGGATATTCGTAGTTTATTTTTCATAGAACATGTTTGTCTGATCTTAACCTTTCATTTTTCGAAAGTATATAACATGAATGATACATTAGTTTTAGTTATATATAAATATAAGGGATTTATATCGTTCTTAATTCAAAATATTAAAAGAATGAGTTTATGAATTTTTATTTTTATATAATATTTAACTTTTTCATATTTATTTAATACGAAATTTAAACTTACAATCAAATTTCTAATAACAGTTACATCTTATTTAATCCTTAAGATCATGAATCCCTATGTTCTTAGAAAGAAGAAAAGTCAAAAGCGATTAATCCGCTAGTGAAATTAAAAATCAAAATTATTCATACTCCTCGTATCACATTACGGACTACTTACATGTTTAATTCAGCAAATTATATAATTTTATGTTTTAACCTTGATTTTCATCTCACATCAAATTATACCCCAAAACATCAACTAAAACTTCCAATACTATTTATGATCTCTTATCTAGTTTTAGAGCATAATGAAAACTGTGAAAATTACCCTATGATTAGATAAAAGGAACATTCCTACGAAAACTATGATAATTATTGGCGAAGAACATAACCTCTCATCATCACCAACTTCACAACTACTTACCTAAACTAACCTGATAGGTATAAGGCAACAGAAAAATATCGTAGTATATGTCATATACACATACCTAACAATTGTACTTTTGTGTCGTACACCCCTGCAAAAGAATACTCACATTTTTTTCCCCAAATTCACGTAAATTACTATCTTATAATTTATATTGGTGTTACTTATTTTGATACTTATAGCCTTAATTTTTTTATTAAAAATATATTTATTAATGTGTTTTTTATGTTTACTTTAATTATTTCACGACGTGACAACTTATTCGTGCCTTTACATTCTAGTTAATTAATAATTTGCAATAAGAAACACGCATGCCAATTAATTTTGAAATCTTGATTATAGTTATCAATTGTGTTACACATAAATTAGGAACTCCTTCTGGTAATTTGTGCTAATTAGTTCTTAATTAATTCTTAACAACAATTACGTTGTTGAATAGCCAAGATTTGTGTTTTGTGCGTGTGTAGATGGATGATTATACTTGATCTTAAAGCAGAACAAAAGTGAAGTCAAAATTTGGCACTTCCAGACTGATCTCCAAACATTGAGTGGCTTTCAAGCACAATAATTATGCATTAAACTTGTATTTTAATGTTAGTATCAACAACTTTCTATTCCATATATATATAAAGCATACACGTGCTCAAGGTTTTCATCAAATCCTCATCACTTTTCCAGTTATTGCATTTCATAATTACTTGTTTCACTTCCAAAAAAATGGCACTTTTGCCATATTCAGGATGCATTGTTCTTTGTGCAACCATTTTTCTCTTCTTCACGTTATCATCATCAATGTCTCAAGCACAGCTTGATGCTCATTACTACGATAAAACATGTCCACAGGCAGAGAACATCATTTCAGACACTGTTCTCAGTGCTTCCAAATTTGACCCAAAAGTCCCAGCTCGGATCTTGAGGATGTTCTTCCATGATTGTTTCATAAGGGTAAGAAAAAACTAACTTCATTTCACGTCTATTCATGTTTAATATTAGGATAACGATATTTTGATAATACTATTTTAATAATATTTTAACATTATTACGTAATTAGATTGAAAAATTTAAGAAAAATATTTTTAAGTAATTTTTTTTTAACAATGTAAAAGTATATTGTCTCCTTATTAGATTGAAAAATTTAAGAAAAATTACTGTATAGTAGAGGATAATTAGGTCTAGATATTATGATATTTCAAAATCAGCATGCTTAAGAAAAAAGAAAAATAATAAATTTAGAAAAAAAAGAACTATTTGTTATCAAACCAGTTCCCTCTGTCTAGAAAAATAAATAAATAAAAATTAAATATAAAATGATGGGTATTTATTCATAAGAATATGTATATAAAAATGGAGTATTTATTGGGTGTGTAACACATTATTATATTTGGACTATAATACCCTTTTTTTTTGCCATTTTTAATTACTTTTTTTAAAACTAGTTTTTTTTTTCTGAAATTTATATTTCAGTAAAGTATATTAATTGTTTGTCCTTTGAATATCAGAATTATTTTCTCTGAAACTCTTCCTATTTGAAAACTTGAACTTAGCATCAATATTGCTGTGAATGATAGGGCTGTGATGCATCGATATTGCTGGACTCAACTCCCAAAAACCTGGCTGAGAAAGATGGTCCACCTAATCTCTCTGTTCATTCATTCTATGTTATTGATGAAGCCAAGACCAAGCTTGAGAAAGCTTGTCCACACACTGTTTCTTGTGCTGATATAATCGCCATTGCAGCTAGAGATGTGGTGGCACAGGTAACCAGAATATTAATCCTTCAAACTATTTTATAATTATACGAAAATTTAATTTATATTATAAGCATAGAGTAAAATTAAATTAAATTTAAAGTCCACCTTTACATGTTACAAACTGATTTTATAAAATTAAATTAAATTTAAAATCCACTCCTACACCGGCTCTAACATTTTACAGTTAAGAATAATTTCATAACAAATTTATATCTCAAATTAAATAGTATTTTTATTACATTCAATTATTTAAAAATTATTTAGAAATTAAGATAAAAATTAGTTTAAATACTTGTAACCTCTGTTACGACAAGGTTTAGATTAAAATCGGTATCATGTTTGATTGGACTTACATGCATTTATATAGTGTCAGAAAAATAAAATGGACCCATCAACTACGTACTGATCTCTGAACAATAATGATTCTTCCACGCATGGTCAACTATTGTAAAAGAAAGTGAAACTTGTTTCATATGTTGTAATGATCGTTGTTCATAAATTTTCCCAGTCTGGAGGACCATCTTGGAATGTGCTAAAAGGAAGAAAAGATGGAAGGGTGTCGAAGGCGTCAGAAACAGTCAACTTGCCAGCTCCAACCTTAAATGTGAATCAACTCATTCAGAGTTTTGCAAAGAGAGGTTTAGGAGTGAATGATATGGTGACTCTCTCCGGTGGCCACACTCTTGGATTTTCGCACTGTTCTTCTTTCCAAGCAAGAGTTCATAACTTCAGTTTGTTGCATGCTATTGACCCTAGTTTGAACACTGAGTTTGCTCTAGACCTGATAAGGAAGTGTCCAAAAGTAAACACAAACCCCAATGCTGGACACGTCCTGGACTCAACATCATCGGTGTTTGACAATGATTACTATAGACAGTTGTTGGTGGGAAAGGGTTTGTTCTCATCAGATGAGTCTCTTGTTGGG